AGCTTTCTCCTGGTTTTTCAAACAAGCTGCTTTAGTGTTCTACCAGTGTGGCTTTGTTCTTGCTACAGGCTGGCTTTCCGTTCGTTGCCCAGGCCAAAGGCATACGGAAGCCAAGCCCAAGTAACTGTTAACCTTCACCTTTCAGTGATGCTGCCTCCGGCATTTTCTGGGACAGCCCTTAATACAGCTCCGCCGCCAAGATGTTCCAGCCAGAATTTCCGATTCCTTTAAAGGTTTCCCGAGCTGCTGGATAGACATCCCTTCCCTTCAGAGATTTGGGAGTCTGCTCCTGCCGGCAGGCGTCTTTGAAGGCCATAGGGTCACACCACGCAGTGGCCCCCCGCTAGCGTGTGGTCTAGAAAATGGTCGGACCAAAATGTCGACTGCAGCGACTGGTCTCTGACCCCTTCCTTGGCAGGGGGACACCTGCCTGAGGCCTCAGACTCACGGCGCTCCAGATGTGCGCACTGAGCTGCGGTTATTGACCTTGAGGCATCAAGCTCTCAATATCCTCCCTTTTTAAATTGTTTTCTAGATGGGACTTAGCAGCTCGATACCCAGGAATTGCACCCTCGGATATATCCTGTTCAATTGGGAAAGATTTGATCCGGAAAGACTGGACAAAAAGAAGCTAAATACGCTGTGCAATTCTATTTGGCCACACTATGCTCTAGAGAACGGAGAGTCATGGCCAGCCAATGGTACACTTTCCCTTCCAACCCTGCAACAGCTAGAACATTTTTGTGGAATGATGGAGAGGTGGTCGGAGATGCCGTGTATTAAAGCATTCTTCCTTTTGAGGAAGAACAAAGATATTCATTCCCAGTGCACCCAGGACCCCCTAAGGAACCCTGGACTTAAGGGCAATGAAACAGCCCTGAATATTCTACCTGTAGTAGAGGTAGCTGGGGAATTTGGTCCCCAGGCAATTTACAAGCCTTTTTCTCTAATTGAGCTCAAGCAAATTAAAAATGACTCGGGCAGTTACTCTAACAAACCCGAACAGTACATAGAACACTTCCAGCACCTCACCCTATCCTATGATTTAACCTGGAAAGATGTAATGGTCATACTGGGACAGACTATGACAGACTTTGAGAAAGAACGAGCGCTCAAAGGTGCTAGGAAGTTTGCAGAGGAGTTACATATGATGAGTGAAAAGTACCCTGTAGGGAAAACTGCTGTACCTTTAACAGACCCTGCTTGGAATCATTGCGAGCCTCAAGACAAGTGGGCATGGGAACATTTCCTGGTGTGCATCACAAGGGGACTAAAGTCAGGCAGGCAAAAGGCCATTAATTATGCCAAGGTGACAGCGATTCACCAGGAACCTACAATCTCCTGTAAACTTGTTAGAGCAGCTAAAGGAAGCCCTGAAGAATCATACTGCTACAGATATAGAATCCTGAGGGGCAAGTCTTGCTCAGGGACAAGTTTCTCACACAGGCTGCACAGGACATTCGCAAGAAACTCCAAAAACTAGTGCAGAAGCCTGAAGGACCTACCCTCGAGGAGATGGTTGCTTGTGCTAATACAGCCTTTTACTATAGGAGCAGGAAGGGGAGGCTCAAGCCCGGGAGAAGGAGAGAAGGAAGGACATCCGGCATGCCCCAGGTATTGGCTGCAATGGATAACCGATGCCCATCGAATGCCTCCCAGGTTTCACAGACTTTTGGACCAGGTACCAAATCGACCGGGTCATTGGGCTAGGAATTGCCCTAACTGGAACAAACCTCCTTGGACACCATGTGTCCATTGCAAGCAGACTGGCCACTGGGCTGGCCTCTGTCCTAAGGCAGAAATCCTGGATGGGAGGCGCCCAAAGGCCAACGTGCAGCTGATAACGGAGGAGGAGGACTGAAGGTGCCCGGTCCGGATGGCCCAGCAACAAGAGATAACTGGTACTGGTCTGGAACCTAGGGTGTGCATCGACGTGGCAGGAAGGTCAGTAAACTTCCTTTTAGATACTAGGGCCACCTTTTCTGTCCTTATTTCCTTCCCTGGACCCCTGGCACCCCACACCTGCTCCATCCTGGGAGTGTCAGAAAAACCTGTAGTTAAACATTTTACTGAACCTCTCAGATGTCTATGGGATAACATCTATTTTTCTCATAGCTTCCCAGTAGTCCCTGAATGTCCAGCTCCTCTCCTAGGCCGAGATATACTGTCTAAGCTACACACCTGCATAGTCATTGGGCCTCATCCTCATCCCTCTACAGCTTTCCAATTGTTCCTCACAGTGGAGGATGGTATTTCACCGCCACCCCAGGACAGAT